TGATAAAACACAAAGGTTATCCCACCAACCCCGTATTGATTTAGAATTGCTACCCTCCTCACTCACACCGCTACTCACCGCGACGGGTCAGGCTGTGAGGGAATGCTCTAGTTTACAATGGAGAATTCATTTTAGGTGTGCACCGAGATGTGGTAGAAGTGTGTACATTGCTATCCAGGGTTATTTGCCAAGAATGCAACAAAGTATTTTTTAAATGTAAATGGCTTGCGGATCTGCGAAGTAACCTTCAAATTAAAGTAGACTATGGCATAAATATAAATCAGTATGTAATACTTTTCTTTCTAGTTTTCATTTACGATTAAATTCAACTCTAGGCTGACCTGTCAAAGTGTGAAAGTAAGAAGTCATTATCTCGGTTTGAGATAGCTTTTGTTGACGTCTCAAGAATTGTGTGTTTTCATGAATTTAGATGTGGCGCAGGAGCAAAAATATGGGTATTTTTCCGTTTTGAAAAGAAGTAGAGGTGGTAAAGTCACCAAATCAAAAGCTCACACAGTAGGACAAGCAATAAAATAGTTTGGTTCTTAAGTCCTGAGGATGTGCAAGCAGGGCATCACCTGGTTTGCGTTATGATGGGAGACTCTTAGAACTCAGGTGCCTTCACCCACACTGCCTCGAATGTGTCTGGTGTGTGAATGAATGGTTGGTGGTGGTTGGAGGGGTCAATAACGCAATGCAGGATTACTATGGCTAATTCTTTACTTCTGTCACTATTCCTATTAATAAAACACAATCATGTATCCCTTTAATGTTCACTCCTTGTTTTGTTTTTTTTCCAAAGATGTAGATAGATAGATAGATACTTTATTGACCCCTGTAGGAGAAATTCAGGTGATAAAATAAAAATAAAATAAAAAAACGGATCATTTAACAAAGCTAACAATAGTATCAATAAGTAGGAGCAGTAATGACATGAATAATGTGTTTTACCTTTTCTGAACCCCTAGATTTTTTTTTTTTTATCAAAGACCTTTGCCAAAAGGTCAAAAGTGCCTAAAACCAAGTGAGATGCCCAAAGAGGTAGATCTAAGTTCCAAACTTCAAGTAGCTATATGTAGATATACATTAAATGGTTTTATAATACAGTCTTAAACGCATACACATAGTTCCGCTGTATGAAAAATATAAGTAATTTATGTTTTTCATTTGATTCAGACGACAAAGCTCTTGTACCAACCCATGCATTTGTGAATGGGTACAAGTGCATCTGTGCAGCAAATTACAACCTGTGGTTAAAGAGCAGTCTGCAAAATCCTTACAATACCGGGCAGTTATAGAAAAGGCCTCAATGCATTAGTGCCTGTGCTGTAATGACAGAAATTACAGTAATTTTACTTGTGCTTTTCAATGTACAATGTCATAAATGGAATTCAAAGTGGAACTAAACCTCTGTACTCCTCCCACATTCCACGTTCAGCAGTGTATTAACAAAATAATTGGATTAAAGGTTTGAAGGTTTTGTAACGTTTACTTTTTCTCTTGTTTCTCTCAAATTTGTTAGAACTTCTGGCACGAACGTGTAACTCCGCTCCCTCTGTCTTAAAGCTCCTGTCTCAGTCCTGCAATAGTATGATGTCATCGTTAATGTAAATTGTAATTGTCTCCATTGTGAGATCAATAAAGTTCATCTTATAGTAATGTACGTTCAGAGCAGTCTTTTAAAACACAACTATCGCCCCAATTTAGTCTTGGTAAAGTAAATTGACGTTCTTTAAAATCAAATGGCTGTGTTTGAAGTCATTTTTCAGATGGGGAAAAAAACCAAAAAATTTACATCTCCCTCTGGTGGTAGCATAGGGAGTTACAGTTACGTTCTAGACACTCATGGTTGCCTTACACCACAAGCAAAACATACATTAAGTTAAAATAGAAGTTAAAATAAACCTAACATCTCCTTTGTCCATTTACACATGTTCTACCATGGATTTAAATTATTTATCATTGAAATTAAAGTAAATATTTTGAATGGCCAAAAATAATGCATGATTGAGCTGTTCCAACTTTCCGAACTGCAATCACTGAATAGCGTGGAATATTGAACAATTTCTGCTTTCCTAATAGACTCACAACTGGATTACACACTTTAATATGGCTTAATAAAGTGCTTCAGACAAAACAGTGTATGAATCTGGCTCTTATCAGGGGCCTTGGCAAAGAGCGATGACAGGTTACGGATAGCGGGGGCCACTGAGGGATCGAGGTGGAGAACGCGCTGCCTGTTTATTGGGGCCTAATGAAAAACAATTTATCTAAATCACCAGCGGGGAGGGCTTCTGGTTAAAACGCTGGGAAAGAGAGGTTTTGTGGCAGTGACAAATGCGCTTGTGTTTTTCCAATTGAATGTGAATTGACGAAAGAAAACACAGTCATTGCGACCACAAGCAGTGACCAGGGAGGAGTCCGCCACACAGAGATGGAGGGGGGACCAAATTAGGAGATCGAGTTTGGATTGAATTAGATTTCTGCTGCTGAAAAAAAAAAAAAAACATTGTTGTATCTTGTGCTGGGAGGGATGTTAAATCAACTGTCTCAACTTTTAGGCCCTGTCCACACAAAGTCAAGCTCAGGCCTAAACGCAAAAATACTTTATCAATCCAGTGTATCGTCCATACGAGACCGGCGTTTTGGGGGGGTGTAAACGAACATTTTTGAAACTAGGTCCCAGAGTGGAAAGATTTCAAAACTCCGTATATGCCGCTCCGTGGTTACTGCCTCTCCGCAATGTATCTGAGACGCTTGCGTCATCGCCCCGCCTCTTGTTAAAGCACGCATGCGCCGCACTCAGAAAATAATGACAACAACAATGTAGCTTGTTGGTTTTGTAATCCAGTGCGACCCGAAGCAACAGTTCAACCTCATCGTCCGTCCATACTAATGTAGTACCAGCTCGCCCACTCGCCATGTTGTCTGTTTACAAAATTCCGCGCATGCCCACGGAAGTTTGGGCTTGATCCCGTCATTGCGTCACAGCGCCACCAACAGGTCTGGCATAGTTTCACAGCGTTTTCAGGCGTATTGACTACATTCATATGGACGCACACATTTACTGAGCTAACTCCGTGTTTACAGAAAAAGTTTCTGAAATTATAAGCGTTTTGTCTTCGTGTGGATATAGCCTTAGTCTCTCCATAGCCTCGCGCCTAAGTACATCTGTGACATTTTAGTGACCTATTCACCAAACCAGGGCTCTGAGGAGCACAGGGACTGGCCTCCTGCTGGTTCCCAGAGTCAGGACTAAACATGGGGAGGCAGCAGTGCGTGCAGATAAAATCTGGAACAGTCTTCCTGAAAATGTGAGACAGGCTTCTCCTCTAACAATGTTCAAATCCAGGTTAAAAACCAATTTTTTTAACCTAGATATTTTTTGTTTTTTTATTTTATATGAATTTTTTTCCCAGTGGACCTCAATTTGAATACTAGGTCCATGTAACACGTATGGAATGAATGCAATATTAAACACAATGCTTTACACCTTAAGTGACCTGTTGAAATTGCATGGACACGGCTAATTAGCAAACCATATCCAATCGCTATAAATACCACCGCCCTGAATGCATTATATATGAGGCTTTCTTGGTAAAGCTCATTGTAAGCTGATTTCTAAGAATACATTATTGTAACATATTTCACAGCTATTCAAAGCCCTCCTCTTTATCTTCTCTGACAAAGACTCTAGATGTCATTAGCTGAATACCGTTGTGGAATTCTCCCCATTATTGAATCCAGTAATAAGTGTGATAGCTGCAGCGGAAACATCTCAAGCATGAAATTAGGGCCTCTTCCTCCAGCGCAGAGACGGAGCATTTAAATCTGAACTTTATTACGAGGTGAGTTTGGGGAAATGACATGGTTAGGCTGATAAGGGGCGGAACACAGGGACGGGTGTGGGCTGGCGGCCTAATGCCTTGTTCTACAGCTGTAAGTAAATGTATCTGTACTCGTCGACTTCACGGAGCGATTTATGACGTATTCCCAGCGTCACAAAGCACAACAGTGGATGTATTTGTAATTTATTTTACTCTTTGGCCTTTCCCGACAGCAAATATATATATATAAATATATATATTCAATACAAACCTCTTCAAGAGCAGTCATAGTGTTAACAAAATAACAATGAAACTGAAAGTTAATTAAGGGAAATGAGTTGTAAGTGCTTGGATTGATTTAATAAAATGCTGTAATTTGGTTTAATTTTGAGTTCTGATCAAAAGGACCTGTTGCTGTTTGTTCTGTCCTCCATCTAATATCAGGGTTTTCATCCCTCCGACCCTTCTGCATGAATGCCCCTGTTTCAAAGCTGGTTCCCTATGATGAATTATAACAGATCTGCTTTCTGACTTTTAAAATGCACCGAGAAATCTAATTTATGCAGTTGGCATGGCTGTTTTTGTTAATTGCAATGTTTGATATATAAAAAAAAAAGGAAAACTCCCTCTGGACGTAGAAATGAGCACTAGCACTATTGTTTATCTATAAATATATTATGCAATGGAAAACAAAATGCAAACATATTATCGTCATAACGTTCACTATTTAGTCTATAAAAGGTGAGGAGTGCAAGTGTTCAAGCCTTTTTTTTATATTCAAATAACCAAATTGATAATGGTAGATTTTGGTTATTTACTCATAAATTTGGTTTGGTGCAGCATTGAGTGGTTAAAACGTAACTCTTGGGTTCCATTTAACCTCCAGACAGGGCCTTTCTGAGTACAGTTTGCATGTTCTCCCAGCGTCTGCATCGTTTTCCCCTACCACTAAAGACATGTACAATAGCCACCCTCTCTCTGGGGCGAGGACTTCTCTGGAAAAGAGATTCTGAAATTATTAAACAAAGGGAAACACGTAAAATAGCATGAATACAATTCAGTGTTTTTTATGTTTTCTTTTTACTACTGGTTGTAAATCTGAAGCACCATTGGAATCTGATATTTTTAATCAGCACATACTGTATCTGTTTTATCTGCTTGCCGTTTTTCCAGATCATGGTGCTGACAGACCCGGAGTTTGAGAGCAGTATTCTCATCAGCTCGGACGAAGGAGCCAGTTTTCAGAAGTACCGCCTCACCTTCTACGTGCTGAGCCTGCTCTTCCACCCCTTCAAAGAGGACTGGGCCCTGGCCTACAGCCACGACCAGAAGGTAAGACCCCAGCATCCATGATGCCCTGGACCTACGAATCTGAATCTATGACTCTAGAACTACTGATGGCCTCACAGGGAAAATAAACGTGCCGGTTATTATGAGCAGTTAAAACTGAGGTACGTAAACTTTCAAACCACAAAGAAATTGAGCTGCGTGAGGAAATATGAGCGGATCTCTATGGACTTGATACCCAAAAATATTCACAATCTCTTCCTTTCAAAATGACAAACAAGGAAGCTTAAATTGACTGGACTGAGGCAAAAGTTTGATAATAGAGAGAGTTGAATTTTCATAGAAAGCAAACATTTCTTAAACTAAATAAGAGTTCTTCATTGCGTATTATTCTTTGTTTGTAGCAGGTAATCTTGATTCTTCAGGGCACATGAACATCACAGTCTCTCTATTATTGTCTCTTCAAAGCAGCAGCATCGTCTCTATAACTGCAGTTTGGTCCATCTAGAAAAAGAGGAGACCGGGACCTTACAACATTAACCAACTATAAAAAACACATTGTGATTATAGACATGCTGTACAGTACAACAGTTTGAGTCGCCAGCACAGTGTATACATGCAACACACATGCAATACAGGACAGAAATACCGTGAGAGCAGAGCAGCTACGGCTGAAGGGAAAAATATTACTGAATCTTGCCCGTTCCACCTTAAATATGTATAGGATTCTCCCAAATTTTAGAAAAAGAACTGCCCTCTGCACTTTGACGAGCACCAGAATGATTGACAATTAGGAGGACCAAGAGTCTTGATGATCCGCCCGGAAGTAGAAAATCCTCCTTTATACCTTTAAAATTCTGTATCTGCGGCCTGAAGGCAGCAGAGGGAAGTGGATGTGGAGAGTCTGAGTCTGTTCGTGCCTTGAGTGTTACTGCTTTGTGGTTGAGTTGGGAGAGGTCTGTGGTGGGGTGATTGATGGTTTTGTATGTGTGTGTGTATGTGTGTGACTTAGTTAAGTTTATTTCTATTTATGATGGAGAGGATTGGTTTGAATAATGTCTTTTCCATCTCAGAGAAAAAGGCCTATTTAAAAAATCATTGATAATGATTCTACTTTGTAAATTCCACTCTCCTCAAAGATGCACTAATGTTAAAAATACAGCTCTTATCGTCAATTTTCCCGCTCCCTTTGAAGTCTCCTATAATCATGTTTTTGTATTTTTCAAATCTTCACTCATTGTGAAGCATGAGCCATTGTTTTGTCGTTGCTGGTTTTATCTTTTTGTCCTTTTCGTTTCAACTTTCCAGACACAAAGCAAAGACAGAATCTTTGTGGTCATTGTTTTCTTCAGACACATCCGTGAATTTATGAGAACAATTAATTTGAAGGTCACAAAGAAAGGCTGGTTATTTTCTGTCTTATACCCTCATTTTAACTCTTGAGAATAACTTTTGTATTCAAATCACAAACCGTATGTTGGGAATGAACCGACCAAGAGCTGACCTTTCTGTGTGGAGTTTGCATGTTCTCCCTATGTCTGCCTTAGTTTCCCCTCTACCATTACAAAGCATGCACTTCCTGTATGCTTCCCTGCTTCTATCACTGTGTGGAGTGAGAGGACGAACACATTTTGTAAAGTGCTCTTACTTTTTCTTTAACTTAGACATTTAGAGGAAAAAGTGCCTCTACATTTTGGAATAATGCATTGATCATTCACAGCAGGAGTCTTGAATTATTGAAAGAAAAGATCTGTGCAAAACTTGGCCCTTCTATTCAGTTTAAATCTCAAATAAGGCGTTGTGGTTCTCAGTATCTCAGTAGAACATATATGTCTAAGTATCCAAGATGGCAAAACAATCAATTGCTTTTGATACAGATTTTATTGACTATATTGTGATAAATTGCAAAAGTGGGCGGGACTTTATGTGCAAATTAGTTACATAGCTTTAATCTGGTATATTTAAAACTTCTATAGTTCACGAATATGCACTGTCCCATTCAAGTAAACAAAAACATAGTATAAATACAAAGTTATGTAAAAAAAATAATACTTTGTGACTTCCTGTTATGTACAATGGAAATAAAAATAATTCAGATTTTTATGTTTCGAAAATAATCATGTGCTTCTGGTTGGTCATACTCACCCCTAAAGCAAGATCTAAACAATGTATGCCGTATGTATGTATGAAAATAAGGATAAGGGAGTCGACCTCACAACTTTTCCTCATTTTTTTGTCTGGACAGAACATCAGTACACACATTAATTCTTAACAAAAAAAAAACTTGTAAACACTCCCTGCCTCAGTGGCCTTTCTGGTGCACTGACTTGTTGTGGCTGAAGCGGCGATTATCCGTGTTTGCGCCTGTGTAATGAGTTCAACAGGGTTTACACATCAGGCTGTCCACGCTCTGACCTGGCCCCCCAACACCCTCCTCCCCACAGCCTGGACACTTTCACTTTAATATGCTCATTTTCAGCTTGTAAGACCCTAATAGTCTCCAGATTGGGTCACTGTGGATTTAATCAGCTGTAAGTCGGTGCTTAGCCAGGCTTAAGAGCGGCCCCAAGGATATCACAAGTGCACTATTTAGTCCGACATCCAAATCTGTGTCAGTACAAACAGCCTGGGCTCCGGTATTTGGCATCGCATTGGATTTTATTTCATTCAGAGGTGGACGCTGTTAACAGAAATGCAGTAATCGTGTTGGTTCCCAGAGCCAACTTGCATTCAAATAGAGAATTAATGTCCCATTTTCTCTCTCTCATCCACTTGGCCTCACGACTCTTGCAACACCCAGTTACAGTGAACAAATTATTATACGGAACTGAAGAAAAACAGGAAAGAAAACATTGTATACAGATGACGCTCGGAAAATTAGAATATTGTTCAAAAGCCATTTAATTCTGTGTTTCAGTTTACAAAGTGGAACTAAACTATGGCAGACATTTTAACACTCAAGACTATGAAACTATACTTGAACTCCCAGAGCTGTAATTTTGACTCCTTCCATTCCAAAGAATGGAATTCTGAAAACAATCCCTTGGAAAAAATAATGTTTTTTATAAGATTTATTAAAAAAGTACTCATTCATTTTTATTGTTTTTATAATCTTTACACATTTTTAATAAGTGCTAAAACTGGTGAATGGAACTTGAAATACATTAGAAAAACAGTTTGTTGAAAGGCTAATGCTAAAGACCAGGTGCTAACTGCTGCAAGTAAACACTGTGTTACTATGGTAACTAGTACATGCTAATTCAAAAACCAAACTGACACAGTACAGAACCAGGACCAGTCCCAAACCAATCCAGAACCAGTCCAGGACCAGCACCTTTTTCAAGAAATTTGAATAATTTCTTGAAAAATAATACAAAAATAAGAAAGAAACTATTTTCTAATTATCCAAAGGTCATATTTAATGCAGTCCAAAATGTCATTAACTCAATCGCAACTTAGGAAAGGGAGAAGTCTTTGCTATTCAGGTCAGGCCTTGTTGACTAAATAGTGTTTTCAAAGAGAGAAACGCTGTGACCTTCTCGCTCTTATCTCCGGTCTGTGAGGACTGTGTGGAGACAATCAGTCACAGTCTGACGCAGTCTCACATCTTTGAATACAGCCAGTGTTTCTGCTTCTGCCACTGCTGTATGTAAGCAGACGGACCCCAGACAACAGTGATTTCACAAGTTACACGTTTGAGACAAGAATTTTGAAGAGAACAAAGAGCAGCATCACAACGTCTGCAAATGCTATTCTTTTTTCTTTCTTCCAACGCTTTTAAAGTGAAGGTCAGTTACTTTAAAATTTTCCAAAGTGCCAGTTAGACCCGCCCTGACGGCTTCCTGATTGGACAGAATAAATGCAAATCCTCGCCATTGGTCCAATTTTTATCCTCCAAAAAATCTTACTGGTGATCCATATTCCAAGGGGAGGGATTGTTTGGAATGTATATATTATGAAACAAACAGATATAGACAATATGTAATCTCTTCCAAATGAAATACAATTGAAGTTGCATCACCTTTAAAGGACCAATATTATGCTTTTTGACTTTTCTCTCATTTAAACATCATTACAGTGTTATTTGGCCTTCATACAAATGCCAAAAGCCGTTTTTTTCATTGATTCCTCAGGCTTTAGTAGGAGAGTGATCTTTCTATTTCATTCTCGAGAGGCAGAAAAACGCCTGACAGGAGGTGATTGACAGGAGGAGAGACTGAAACAGCAAGTCAGTACATTCAGCCTCTCTTTGAGTCCAGCGTCTGGTCCAAAGACTGTAAATATCAGTATGATCCCGCGTCTACACACCATAGACTGTGCTGTTTTATGTTAGCATCGTGTCAACTTAGAGAAAATCTGTTTTTGGGTGTGAATATACGACACTAATTGGCCCAAAGACAAAGAATGCAGCGAATGTGGCTGGACTTTTTTTCACAATGATCTGCCTCCGAAATCTGTGTAACAATTATCTGTTTATCTGCGAGCGACGCTTCATCAAAGACACCAATATTCATTATTTAAAGTAAGAACCTTTGTCAGAATCAGAATCAGAATCAGAATCAGAATCATTTTTATTGCCACGTAAGTAACAGGAGGTCACAGACTTGGAAATTGCTTTGGCTCAGTGCAACAGTCAAAAAGAGATAATAAAAATAAGAATAAAAAACACTTCTAAAGAATACATTTAAATTTAAAATAGAGTTACAGTTACTATTTACAATATACAAGTGCACATGGTGCACACAATGTAAGGTGACAGCAGTACAGTGAAGTAAAGTGACGTATGATGGGCAGTAAAGTGACTTTAAAAGGGCGGGGGGACAGGTTAAGAAGTGTTCAAGAGTCCAACAGCAGAGGGGAAGAAACTGTTCTTGTGGCGGGAGGTTCTAGTCCTGATGGACCGCAGCCTCCTGCCTGAGGGGAGTGGTTGGAATAGTCCATGTGCAGGGTGAGAGGGGTCGGCTGTGATACGACCAGCCCGGCCTCGAGCTCGGGCGACGTACAGGTCCTGCAGCGATGGAAGGCTGCGGCCGATCACTTCCTCT